TTAGATGACTGCAAACCTACACAAATATGCAGGCATATCATTCTTATGAATTTACAAGATCTTATCCACGCCCAAGTCATCTAGATCAGTGTTTCCCAAACTTTTAAGTTTGGCGGATCGGTGAACAAGTTTCGAAATTTTACCAGGGACCGGTGCATGATTAATTTTTATACTTTTATTACTATTTGACAATAAATATTTATGTTTTGGGGACCTGCAGCGTTTTGCATGCGGACTGGTGAAGGTCCACGGACCGCCATTTGGGGACCACTGATTAAGATAAGTCGTTCATGTTGTTTATAGATGACTTCTTCCACTAGGAAGTCAGCAAGTAATGACAATACCACTGAACACCAATCTCTTTTATTTTTATTTTTTACTTTTAAACAATTTTTTGTAGATAAGAAACTTTCTATGATGACCTTTAACACTTTATTTCGTAATCTTTTATCGAAAAGCGGTCAAGCTCTATTTTTTTTTAAAAACCATCACCAGGGTTGCCAGATCAAAATATTTTTTTAATTGCCCAACCAAACCAGAAAAAGGATTTAAAAAAAAAAGCCAAATTTTTTTTTTTTTTTTTTCAAAATTATATTTATTGCACCATCAATAAAGAAAATATTAAAAAGTTTTACATAAAAAGCGGTTAAGCTTTTTTTTTTTTTAAAAACCATCACCAGGTTTGCCAGATCAAAATATTTTTTTAATTGCCCAACCAAACCAGAAAAAGGATTTAAAAAAAAAAGCCAAATTTTTTTTTTTTTTTTTCAAAATTATATTTATTGCACCATCAATAAAGAAAATATTAAAAAGTTTTACATCATCGTTCTCCAACTGGCGGTCCTCAAGCCTTACGTTTTTGTTCCTCTCAAGACATGAATGTTTCTTAAATAAAAATAATAAGTGTAAATAATTAGCCACCGGTTCCTGGTGTAATTTCAATTCTTGCCCAATGGTCAATAGTGTAAATTCGATACCCGTCCAACGGTCCATTGTGTAAATTCGATACTTATCCACCAGACTTTTGAGTTTGGAAAGCATCGACTAAAGTAACTAGAATGTCTGTCTCTTCAACAGACCAGATAGCCCATTGCACGTGACCCTCGTCAGCCAGAAAGAGACCCGCTTTCGCCGTGGCACCTTCAACTATAATCCCAACTGGAAGACGAACATCCCTTACATCATCGATCCGACCTTTCAAAGCCTGGGTAAGCAATAGCACATAGTGAATCAAACCTGGGTAAGCTATAGCACATAGGTAATGAAAACCTGAGAAAGCAAAAAACGCAAAGGGCATCGAAACTGGGTAAGCCATAGCACATAGGCTATCAAACCTGGGTAAGCAATAGCACATAAGGAATCCAACCTGGGTAAGCAATAGCACATAAGGAATCAAACCTGGGTAAGCAGTAGCACATAAGTAATCAAAGCATGGGTGAGCATTATCACATAGGGATCAAACCTGGGTAAGCAATAGCACATATGGAAAAGAAACCTTGGTAAACAATAGCTCATAAGGAATCAAACCTGGGTAAGCAATAGCACATAAGGAATCAAACCTGGGTAAGCAGTAGCACATAGGTAATCAAAGCATGGGTGAGCATTATCACATAGGGATCAAACCTGGGTAAGCAATAGCACATATGGAAAAGAAACCTTGGTAAACAATAGCTCATAAGGAATCAAACCTGGGTAAGCAATAGCACATAAGGAATCAAACCTGGGTAAGCAGTAGCACATAGGTAATCAAAGCATGGGTGAGCATTATCACATAGGGATCAAACCTGGGTAAGCAATAGCACATATGGAAAAGAAACCTTGGTAAACAATAGCTCATAAGGAATCAAACCTGGGTAAGCAATAGCACATAAGGAATCAAACCTGGGTAAGCAATAGCACATATGGAATAGAAACCTTGGTAAACAATAGCTCATAAGGAATCAAATCTGGGTAAACAATAGCCCAAGGGAAAACTGATTGTTTCATACATTACAACTTAGTATAATCCTGCTCTCATCGTGATGGTCAAGTCTAGTCTTTAGTTATATTTCATTGCCACCGTAATGGTCAAATCTAGTCTTTGGTTATATTTCATTGCGACCGTAATGGTCAAGTCTAGTCTTTGGTTATATTTCATTGCCACCGTAATGGTCAAGTCTAGTGTTTGATTATATTTCATTGCCACCGTAATGGTCAATTCTAGTCTTTGGTTATATTTCATTGCCACCGTAATGGTCCAGTCTAGTCTTTGGTTACATTTCATTGCGACCGTAATGGTCAAGTCTAGTCTTTGGTTACATTTCATTGCCACCGTAATGGTCAAGTCTAGTCTTTGGATACATTTCATTGCCACCGCAATAGTTTAGTCTAGTCTTTGTTTATAATTCATTGCCACCGTAATAGTTTAGTCTAGTCTTTGTTTATAATTCATTGCCACCGTAATAGTTTAGTTTCCTGTTGTATACTGTGCTCTGTTCTTTGTGATATTTCCATTTGTCCTGTGAGTAGAAGAAGGCTTTATGCCGAAACGTCCTAATCGTTTTGTACTGTTCTCTAATTCAAGCTTCCACATACCTCTTTTTGATTTTTCATTTCATAGTCTAGTCTAGTCTTTGGTTATATGTCATTGACACCGTAATGGTACAGTCCAGTCTTTGGTAATGTTTCATCAAAAAAAAATCAACATTAGGATAAAAGCTAAATGTAAAGAAAGGAAAAAAACATTGACTTAGATGTTGAGAAATGAATTGATACTAATAGGAACTAAAAAGGGGGGTAAGTGATAATGAGAAATAAATGGATACTAATACGAATTTTAAAGGGAAAAAAATGATTTAGATATTGAGAAATTATTGGTTGCTAATAGGAATTTTAAAGAAGAAAAAATTGATTTATATATTGATAAATAAATGGATGCTGATGGGAATTTTAAATGTAAAAAATGAGTTAGATCTTTGGAAATAAATGGATACTAATTGGATCTTTAAAGATAACATACGTATTCTTTATAATTCCGTTAGAACCAAGAAATTATTATTTTTTTATTTTTAAATTTTGGAGCTACTATAAAGCTACATTAACATAGTAAACTAGGTCAGAGAGAAAAAATTTAGGATAGAAAATCGATGAAGACCAAAAGACGAAATTAGGCAAATCAAGATGATAATGTTAGATCATTAAATGTTTTAGACCTTAATTTACAACACTAGTGGTGAGCTATGTTTTTAACTTCAATGCTTTTAAAAGGCGAGAATACTTGAAGAGATTCTAGGAAGACCCATTCAGCTATGAATTTAAAAACATCAGATACGGACAAGTCCATGAATTAGAGAAATTCAACATATACTGCCTTTAGGTGTCTTCTAAGCCTTTATATTTCATTAAAAAAGCTCATCTTCTAATAATTCAACATAGAAAGAGGTTAATTTTGGAACGGACGTCAATTACTCTTCTTTACTAGTTGATAGTAGACTCTTGGGTTGAATAGCTCTCAACATATCTGCTACTTTCTTGAACATAGATGATCTGATCTGGGGTTCAGAATGAAAGCTATCAATACAATCCAGCATACATTTTTCTTCAGGCAAGAGAGTCCAGCCTCTATTACCTGTTCTCTTGCCATTCTCTTCTTTAGCCTTAATCTTCTTTCTACAGAAATTCCATATTTGTTTTATTTTAGAAGTCCTTTTCAATAGCATGTTCCACCAAGTTACAGCGCTTCTCCTGGAGAAACAATCTTGAGGCCTCTAGGCTGGCCACCAGTTTGTCAAGAGTAAAGTCTTTAGCCTGCAGATACTGCTGTATAAAATTAACTTCCTTAAGTAGATGAGCCCAAATGGAAATGTAGCAGATAAACGTGAAAAAAAAACAACGTGTTAAAGACCTTGTGCTGTATGACAATTTTGCTCAAATGTTAAGGGGCGGTGCTAGTAGCAAATTAGCGAACATATTTATGTTTTAGTATTTGTTAGTTTTAATATACTTTCATTCAAAAATCATTGTTTACATTTAAATACAAGATATTAGAAAAGTTTGTAAAATATTATTTCGTTAACTCTAAGAATGGGTAAAATGTAATTTTAAAATTGTTTAATTTTTACCGATTAGATTCATGTACTAAGTATCTCGCGACCAAACCGTGTTTTGTATCAATGGAAAGCTTTATTTCTCAGAATTTAGATAAATATAGCTTCCTGTCGCTTACATAAGTTACCGAACGTTTCAATCATGGTCAAAACGGTATGTTTCTCACCTAATTATAGGGTCACCCCATTATAAGGAATCAAACTAGAAGTTTTAATAAAGCATGCATGTGGATTGGTTACGTCTGTGGAAAATTTACAGGTTATCGGTTATCCTTTAATAAAATTCGATTAGACCAACAGATTTTCTCTCTTTAAATTATAAATATGCACTTTTCTATTTTGGTGCCCCCCCCCCTTTTTTGAGATAGTGTCACCCGGTGCGCTCCGCACACCCCCCTCCCCCAAACCTCCCTAGCTACGTCACTGATCCTGCATAATCAGAAAAAAACTTACAAACCTCTTTTTGTGTGCGGAATTTTAGCAATACTTTTCGAATTATTATTTTGTTTTCCTTGTGTTTTAATAACAATTATCAATCTTATAATTACGTATTTTGTTTTAATTACATGTTGATTCGTAAGTATATGATATGTTTTAATTACATTTATAATTATTATAATTGTCTAATATATTTTAATTTTTTTATAATTTTTTTTTAAAATTATTATAAATATATCAATATTATTATTATTATTGGTCATGCTGTTGTTTTTCAGAGATCGGATATCTGATAGGTTTATTTAAAGATAAGTTAATCAATTCATCCCATTCCAAAACCCTACTGCTAACATGATTCATGTGCTATAGGGGACTACTACGTGACGCTCCTGAAACGATCCCTCAAGTGGATCATGGACCGAGTCTGTCTGACCTTCACCGACGAAACGTCCAGATTCAACCCTAGCGTGCCGAACTGGTTCATCTTGAACGGTTACCAGGTCAACGGCTACATCATCATCAAGGCGGGAACTGGGTCAGTTAGAAGCTACTTTAGCTTAAACAATGCTGGCTTTAAGTTAGCCGTCATAAGATTCACTATTCGTTATTACTGTCTATGTCAGCAGGTTGTAAGCTGCTATTGCATGTTAGACTAGTATGTCAGTATTGTAGGTAATCAATTTTCAACCTAAGCCTAAAGGTTGCCACAAACTTATACAGGATACTCAATTTCACTCTATTAAAACACCAAAAAAAAAAAAAATTAATCTGACACGGTCTGAAATAGAGTTAAAAAACATTTTTAAATTCATCTCATTCTTTCATGTTCAGCTGCTCTGCTGCGTCTGGTCCAGGAAACGGCAACGAGTCCAGAACCGTCTATCCATGTCAGGAATTTGTAAGTTTTCATTTTAGTTTACGATATTTTTTTTTAAACTTCAGGTAGAGTTATTACTTTTTTAAAAAAATGAGCTTGGAAGATAGCACTTTGCTTTACAACTAGTCTATTTAGCATAGTGTCTTTTTAAAGCCTTTATCTCAACTTAGCTTTATGTTTTTGTGGCAAAATCATTGTAAGACTGAATGACCAACTTCTCGTCATCTTTCGAGCTGAATTTGACACATAGGCTGGTTGCTGATGAAAAACAGTCTGTGAAATTTTCATCACACCCCATATCCCCCTACCACACCACAAAAAAAATTCAAGAGGGAAGATAAAGGAATTATGATGCCATGATTTCTTTAGAACTGTAGCTATCTTCAAGTCGCACAACATGGAAATAAAAGGATTCTAACGAAAAATATTTGTTTTAAGGGTTTGTTTAATTTACACGTTTTTATGTTCTTAAATTCACTTTGTGTATGAAAAGTTCACGAAATATTCCATTTTAAATGACGGTATTAATTTTAAGGTGATCTTGATCATGGCATTCATCGTCTGCAACCCTGTGGGCAATGCAAAAGTATCATGACCAGCCATGAGTATTAAATATATTGAATATGAATACAAAGTCTGAGATAATAATTAAGTGAAAAACTTACTGCGTGGGTTGTCAAAGTTTTAAAATGAAAACTTAATCGTTGTGTAAAGATAAGCTAAGATGTTGATATAAAATCAAAGAATTGTTTCACTCAGTTATTATATCCTTTCGATTCATTTCCAGCTCATCAACTCACACGAGATGCTTCACATGCTCAACGGCGCTCACGTCCAGCAGGGATTCATAAGGGACAGATACATGTCAATCAACAATGATAACATTCAGCCAAGTAAGTCATAGCAAACTGGGATGTGGTGGAGATCGAGCTTAGCTGACAAGCGAGCAAAGCAGGTCACATCAAATTAGGATGTTTTTGAGGTCGAGCTTAGCTGACAAGCGATCCAAGTAGGTCATATCAAATTAGGATGTTGTTGAGGTCGAGCTTAGCTGACAAGCGAGCCAAGTAGGTCATATCAAATTAGGATGTTGTTGAGGTCAAGCTTAGCTGACAAGCGAGCCAAGTAGGTCATATCAAATTAGGATGTTGTTGAGGTCGAGCTCAGCAGACAAGCGAGCCAAGTAGGTCATATCAAATTAGGATGTTGTTGAGGTCGAGCTCAGCAGACAAGCGAACCAAGTAGGTCATATCAAATTAGGATGTTGTTGAGGTCGAGCTTAGCTGACAAGCGAGCCAAGTAGGCCATATTAACCTGGGATGGTATTGTGGTCAAGCTAAGCTGACAATCGAACAGTTTGGGTGGGTTTTTTTAAATTGTAATTTCATGTATAATGACAAGCTCAAACTTAACACTTTCCCCAACCCATTCAGCCCCAGTCCCACACTGGACGCAGATTTTGACAAAGCTTTTCATGTATCAGTCGAGAGTTTCCTTTAATCATTTGGTTGAATTTAATAACGTTAAAACTTTTATGTTTCACTAAATAATTTATCAATAATTATTTTAAATATTTTTTTCAATTTAGAAAGAAAATTTTAAAAGCAAATTACTATTCCCCGGACACATACCTATGAACCAATTTTTTTTTCAGTTGAGTCCGCCACGAATTTTTTAAAGGGCACGTCTGATCGCTTTATTCAATGTTTTGCTTGCTGTGTAATAAATATTCCTTATAGCCAACAAATCAAGGATTTTCGTTCCTGGCTAATATTTTTCCTTAGTCTGAACCATAGAAAAACAACCAAATTTTTTCTTAGCCATAGAACAACAACCAAATTTTGCCTGAGACATAGACCAACCACCAAATTTTGCCTGAGACATAGACCAACCACCAAATTTTGCCTGAGCCATAGAACAACAACCAAATTTTGTCTGAGACATAGACCAACCACCAAATTTTGTCTAAGCCATAAACAATCACTACATTAATCGCACCTGGTTTAAATATTCAACTTTTTTTGAGCCATCACGCGCCATGAAGGGCGCCATATGCTGTGTACTTTATCAATATTTTAGTATGAAAAATCTCTGATGTCCTCATAAAAATTTTTTGTTGTCCATATCTTTGGCTTGAAACAAAAAAAACTGGTCTGAACACGTGTTACATCCGCATAGAAATTCTCACAAAGTCGCAAAAACACACACATTCGTGTATATATAAACGCAAATAGACACACATGCACACACATTCGTGTATATATAAACGCAAATAGACACACATGCACACACATTCACACACACATAAACGCAACATCCGTTCATATTGATTAAATTCCATATTCAGCTAAGTATTGATTTTGAAGATGTAGATAAACATTGAAATATGTTATAATTAGCTTCTCATTACAGTAGATGTGAGCATCGTTAGTTCTTGTATTTCAATACAGTCCAAGGTCTTCTGTTCTCGTTACAGTAGATATGAACATTGTAAATTCTTATGCTTGTATACCATTCCAGGTCTTCTGTTCTCCTACGATGCCTACCTTGACGACGGAAACTTCTACAACACTTACTTTGATCCAGCGTCTACCCTCATGTATGGCTCAAAGGTGAGTGACTGAAATAATTAACGGTCGAAACACATATCGATAGAAACAATCTATTGATTGTCAGAAATGTCTACAAAAGTCTTTAGCATTTGCTGTCTATCATATGTATTGTATACCATATTGTGCTAGAAAAAATATGTTCCTTATTTTAATGACAATATATCTTTTTTCCACATCAAGATAGACAGTGGTGGTATTTCTTACTTTTCAACTTATTCAAAAAGTGATTTAAATACCCTGTTTCATTATCTGTAGGATCAGATACTTTTTAAAACATTTGAAGTTATAGATAAGATATTTTGGTGAGTGTGATTTTTAAGTGCAGACATTTAGCCCAAGGTTATGTCAACGCATAATATTGCTTATATTTTCGCCAAACGATTGTTCGACATATCACTGGGGCATTTGATTGAAACCTTTTCATGACAAAATATTTATAAAAGCGAATGAATGATTTTGATGATCTGTAAACAATTGCTGCCATTCAAATTAAGAAACCCGTTCACGTTGATGATGACTTCAGAGTTATGTTCAATTTAGACTAATGTTTGCTTCAGACTTATATTCACTTTATACTGATGTTTACTTTAGTCTTATGTTAACTTAAGACGTATGTTTACTTTAGACTTATATTCACTTTAGACGAATGTTTACTTTAGACTAATGTTTACTTTAGACTAATGTTTAATTTAGATTAATATTTACTTTAGACCATTGTTTACTTTAGCCTTAAGTTCGGTAGACATTTGATATGGGACATGGGGCAAATTTCAATATCATACTAAGATTTTAAAAATTGGAAATTGACTTAAAAAATACAACAGAGCAGTCTAACATACATGCTGTTTGCCTTCTGAACGATTTTAAATCTTACAGTGGCACATTTTTTCCAAAAGTTTGCCTAACCCCCTCCTTAAAGCTGTGAGCGATGTAAGTTTTGCAGGCGAGACTGCCGCTCGGGTATTGGCCTCATAAGTTACACATTTCGAAGTTTAGCCTTAAAAAATTGGACGCTACATCGTCGTTAATCAAAGATAGCGACGCCAGCTAGCTACCATAAACTATTTTTTAAATACCGTCCATAGTCTATTGCAGCGGTTCTCAATGGGTGGTGATCCATTTGGGGCTCGAACGACACTTACACAGGGGTAGCCTAGGACCATCAGAAAACACATATTTATGAAACAGAAACAAAAATAGTTTTATGTTTTGGGGGTCACCACAACAGAAGGAATTTTATTAAAGGGTCGCGGCGTTAGGAAGTTTGAGATCGACTGGTCTATGCCATTGTGCATGAAATCAAACAAAAATACGATTTAACCGAGTTTCATATCACACTGTATATAAAAACAAACTTCATATGTCTAAAATTTTCCGAATGCACCACTCACACGACAATTTAGACATGGACCAGAAATGGTGACGTCACGTACTCGATGATCAGAGAAGACATCATCACTAACGGCATGTCCACCGACAACGTCATCTTTCAAGAAATGAACAGGGTTTACAAATGCAATGGTACGTTTTTCTCCCTTGACAGTGTCTCATTAGTTTGCCATTTAATGTCCAGTTAGTTCAAGTAAAGCTGTACTGTTTTTCGTCTAACTTTTTAATTCATGTATTTGTTTCGGTTTAAGTGTCCTTTTGTTTACTCAAGAGTTATGTGTGGACTACATTCAGCTCAATGGGTTTTGTAGCATCCGCTTCTTCTGTCAATGAGTGTATGCAATGACCAAGTGTTTGCTCATGAGTTCACTTGTTTACGTATGCTTCTGTCAATGAGTGTATGCAATGACCAAGTGTTTGCTCATGAGTTCACTTGTTTACATATGCTTCTGTCAATGAGTGTATGCAATGACCAAGTGTTTGCTCATGAGTTCACTTGTTTACGTATGCTTCTGTCAATGAGTGTATGCAATGACCAAGTGTTTGCTCATGAGTTCACTTGTTTACGTATGCTTCTTTCAATGAGTGTATGCAATGACCAAGTGTTTGCTCATGAGTTCACTTGTTTACGTATGCTTCTGTCAATGTGACCATCTCGTCATTCAGAAAATTTCTGCGGCAACTCAACAATCGATTGCGGTCTTGGATACTACGCCCGGGTCAAGGGCGTTTGTCGCTGTGTCTGTCCTGAGAATAGAGACATCAGCACCAACTGTCAGACACTGAAGAATGGCCGTGAGTCTTTTTTTTTTAATTTAATAAAAAAATCATTTTGAATTTCATAACTTCTAAAAAAAATTTAACAGGTATTCTTATATCTGATTGATATTAACCAGGTATTCTCAAATTCAATTGCAGTTAACTGGCGATCTCATACAAAATTATATTCACCATTCTTCTGATAAAGAATTAATATAAACAAATATTACTTGTATCTTCCAGCCTCGCCCGTGGCCGTTTGGCCAAGTACTCCCATCGTCCTTCTGGCTGGAGGCCCGAGTCATTCTTGCCCAACAGGATTCAACCCAACACCCGGTTGGTTTTCGTTTACCGGTAACTACTCAGCCACCCAGTCCCCCACGGGTCCTGTGGCACTACCCTCCTCGGGATCGACTATCTGGACTCCTGTCTGTACCAAAGCCCCACCAGCAACCGTCGACTGGGAGTCTTGGCCCCCAGGTGGACAGTACTGCATCATTAAATACCCAGGAGTTGATTGCGGTGGAGGTGAGTTCATCCATTTTAACAACCAAGCAATAAGACATTTCATGTTACGCTAACCTTTAACATCTATTTAATTGCATCAGAGTTCCTCTTTGTTTAATTTTAGCTACAAGCATTATTTTATCCATCAAACTTAAAACGACCAATAAATACATAACTACAAGCACGATGTTCGAGCATATAAAATAACAAGATCTTTATTCTCACTGTCTTTTTACTAATTTTTTTATGGTCTTTTTTCAGTGCTCTATTCTCATTCTTCGCGTATTTTGTACTTTAATTTATGTGCTACCATTAAATGTCTCGTTGTAAATTTATAAAGTACGAAATAATGTAAAAGCTTAAATGTAAAATAAAGTGAACGTACCTAGTCTTCTATGGGGTTTTCTTCTGACTGTGGGTGGTTACCACAACAAGGCACAGTACTTTGAGAAATACAAAGGCTCTGCCCTTAGGGTTAAAAAAAAAGGCGTGCGTGGGGGGGGGGGGGGGACTGTCATTCAACAAGAAGCCCAGAGGTAAGGGGCTTCCATCCCAAACAAACAATGTTACCTGATTGGGAAAAAAGGGGTGGGTGGGGGGGGGGGGGCGTCTGTCATTCAACAAGAAGCCCAGAGGTAAGGGTCTTACATCCCAAACAAACAATGTTACCTGATTGGGGGCCTGACCCCCACAAGGTACAATTTTGTGATTATGGGTCGTGTCACAAAGACGATCAGTCAGCTCACCCAATCTGTAAGCGTAGTCAGGAACTCACCAGATCCGTAAGACGTCGTCGGTCAACTCACCAGATCTGTAAGACATCGTCGCTCAACTCACCAGATCCGTAAGACGTTGTCGGTCAACTCACCAGATCTGTAAGACGTCGTCGGTCAACTCACCAGATCTGTAAGAACTGGTCGGGAACTCACCAGATCTGTAAGACGTTGTCGGTCAACTCACCCAATCTGTAAGCCGTGTTCGGTCAGCTCACCCAATCTGTAAGCCGTGTTCGGTCAGCTCACCCAATCTGTAAGCCGTGGTCGGTCAGCTCACCCAAGCTGTAAGCCGTGGTGGATTCTTCAAACTGGCATATTCAAGACTCCGAAAATTTTGAAAGCACATTTTAATGGGCGAAAACTACACTGAAGTGAAAATACTTAAAGAAACTTTAGGTCGGTTCTATCATTAATGAAAAATGGTTTTTCAACAAAGCACACGACAAAATATCAACATCTGTTTGGATTTTATCTTGTCACGCTCTGTCGCCAGGTTTTGTTGATGCAGGAGTAGAGTTCCAGTCCCTTGCCGCGGTGACCAACAACGGAAGTATTGGCGAGACAAGCTTCAACGGTTTAAACATCACACAGAGATACTGCTGCCGGTACCAGGAGTTCTCAAGCATTGCTGTGGATCTCCCAGACGCTGAACCCTTCAGGCTTATGACAAGGGGAGCATGTCCCACCATAAGAGGTAAGGGTGTAGCGTCAGCTCTAACAGTAAAAAAATTGTAGATAAGGGAGGAACATTTATTCTGATAAAGGAAATATGAGAGATAGGATTGTAAAGGTTAGTCTTATATATAGGAACAATAAAAAAAATAATAATAGAACTCTTTTTTTTTTTTTGGGGGGGGGGGTAATATTTTGGTTTTAAAATAAAAATAGAAGTTGACGTGTAACATTAAGATTGAAAAGAAGAAAACTTAGAGTTAACATGTAATATTAGGATTTAAAATAAGAATACTTAGAAGTCGACATGTAAAATGAAGACTGTAACAGGATGGAAGGCATTCTCACCCTTTAACACTAAGAAATAAATTCATTTAAAATTCTTATCATGCACATTTTCTTTCAAATTTAGGCCTTAAGAAAACTTTGTCTAGAAACAACTGGTGGACAGGTATCAACAGGCAGTTCGGCTCCACGTCTTCTCCATGGTGGCTCTATTCTAATGCCATTACCACGTATCTTTGCTACTACCAGCCTCCAACTTACGGTGAGTGATACGCGCGTGTGTTCATTGAGAGACTGAGATGGTAGCGAAGTGTGGACAGGGAGATGAAGATTTAAAGAAAAACCTCTGCATTGCCATATGAATATTTTGAGAGGATGAACATTCTGTCACTCTAGGACAAGGGTCACTCCTTGAAGGGGAGGGTGGGGGGGGAACTCCCCAAGATCCCGCTCCCTAAATAAACATGTACTTACTTACTTCTTAGAAAAATAGCGACATAAAATATAGGAATGCCAACCATTTGCTTTCGTCGCGGTCTAGAGCCCTGGGATAATTCTCTGGCAATTTTGTTTCCTCAAAAGTTTTGTCCTGAAAATGGCGGAAATCTATTAATAGAACATCCGGGGATTCAGTCTGTCCAGTCTCATTTAAAGGCCGGAAATCTATTAATAGAACATCATGGTACTCCGTCTGAACAATCTCTCAGCAGGTGTTCGGTACTTCTCCGTTAATGTGAGCCAGTGTCGTGGCTCTTCACATGGACAGAAACGTGTTGACAACTTTATTTTACGAAATATTTTACACCAAAATATCGTTACTGCTAAATAGTTTCGGAAATGCGTTTACGAAAACGTAGTCTATTATTGTAACACTGCGTAAGGCGGTGTGACATTTTTCAGTCTTCGAAATGACAAGCCCTATAGCAATCCTTGGCAATTAGTAAAAAAATAAGCGTGGGCTACAGTTCCAGTAGAATGTTAATACATTTATTGATTCACGTACTTATGTATTCAAAGGAAGAAAAATGTTTTGAACAAAAAAAGTCTGTTTTAATTGTATACATAGCATCTTTATTTTTCTGGTTTTGATGAATATTTCTATCATCAAGTTCATAACCCAAAAAAACACAACAATGTATCGACTTTTATTTTATTATTTTTTTTGCATTGAGTTTATATCTATTTCACATATACGATGGCATATTTATAGGCTGTAACCAACTGGTCACACTGAACGCCACCAGCAGGTCGGTCACCATAACGACACCAGGGTTTCCAACAGCCAGGCAGCCTAACAGGAGGTGTTTCTACGCCTTCAACGTAAGAGAAACAATTTTTTTTTTCATTTTTTTTTCTTCTTTTTCTTTTCCTTTTTTTTTAAAACTTTAACGCTACGATTACATAATGATTGACTAAGGCCAGTTTTATTATTTTTAAAAATATTGTTATTAAAAAGGGTAAGCTCAAAATTTTGACTCAGATCAAATGGAGCCATACATGTAGCAGAGATATTGAAATGGTCTATCAAGATTTGTTTAGGATTGAAATTTAAAGACAGGACAATGAAAGGTAAGGTTCGGCCAGACGCCTTCTGCAGCAGTCGAGACATGCCAAAAGCAGGAAACAACAAGATTTTGGAGATCAAAAAACGGACCCGTGCGCAGATTTCCATGTTGCTAGCAAAGCGTTTTATGCTTAGAAGCGGAGGCGATCTATGTCCAAGACGATAGCTGGAGGGGGGGGGGGCATGTGTGCTAAAATAAAGTAGAGACTGGGCACAAGCCTTGTGCCTTGCTTGAATAACAACATAATAACACAATCAAATGACGTTCCGGCTGCACGCCTTCCTCTGCAAACAGAAATATCAAAAATTATAATTCTCTCTTGACGTAGGGCTGTGAAGCTGAGTTCACTTGGCGCGCAAAATAAAATTCCCAGAAGTCGGAACCAACTGGGGTTCTTAGAAAATGCGTTACTAAAATGTAAGCTTTGTCGAGTAACTCCAGTTGTTGGGACGTTCACGCAGTGCAGCCGCCATTGCTTGGTGGGTTACTTCTAGTATGCATATATAAAGATAGATATATATATATATAAAGAAAATCACACTAAAATAAGTTAGTTTGATAGAGAGTTGTTTAAATCTGGCATTGAGGCGATAGAAAGGAAGTATCAAACAGAATCTAATAATATTTTTTATGACGAGCTGAATAGGAAATCTATTAATAGATTACAAAATGAAGTAAGATATCAAGGATGGAGTTTTTGGTAACTCAGTTTTGTTTTTAAAGTATCCATTTTAAACATTGTTTTTTCAGTGTTTCCACCAGATTTCTGATTTAAGCCTTTAGATGCCCAATCTCGTCATTCGCTTGGCCACAATATTTTTCATGAGGACAAAAACGTTGCATTAACGGTCGTTTAAGATTTTTATTTTCATCATAAGCAACCTGCAAGCCCCGGTTCTTCTCTTCCAACGCAGGTACCTCAAAACTCACAGTTGAGGCTGACCTTCAACTCCCTTGAACTGAGCACTGTTAACGATGACGAGGTCCTCATAAGGAGATACCACCAATGGCAGGAGCCCTACAAGTGAGGACAATAACACGATACTGTCTTCATACACAAAGTCCTGCATAAGCACTTACGCGCATTCATATACATAGATCTACATAGACATTCATTGCCATGCATAGACATACAATTAATCAAATGGAAATGAACTAACATTATATTTTAATTGTGGGTATTATATAGAAATATTGTTTTACATCTATAACTACATCTACACCAATAATCTGTAACCATTGTAGTGCTGTTGTGTTGTTATTTTGACATAGCTATGAACAAGGAGCTTCCTGTTGATAATTTTTACTGTAATAGTTTTCTTTAATTCAAGACCTATATCTTATAGACTGGTGAAAATATGTGGATATTAAAACCAGGAATACAATTCCAAGATTCGAAGAATTATCTTTACCTCCAATTTAAAATTATTGAACCAAAATTTTTTATTAAAATGAATATATTATTTTAAAAATTGTCGGTAGTGTTTTGAACACAATTCAATATGGTTTGATTTTAGTTTCATTTTTTTCAAACTATTCATGCATTCTTCTCCTCTAGGGTAGACGTAAATAACTATCCTTACCAGTTGATAAGTGAGAAAAGTTATCTTGACGTCGAAATCTGGACAGGTTATGATACAACCACCAAGAAGGGCGTCAATTTCACCGTTGATGTTATTCTTCGTGAGTATTAAGAACAGGGCAGGGGGTGGCGTCAGAGGTAACATTGATCAAATTTAAGCTTTAAAAATGTTATATATTCTGTTGCACTGAGTAGCTTTAATGCTAAATGCGAAATAGGATGGGGCTGTGGAAATAATTAAGCGTAAGGACAAATAAAAGTTCGGCAAGTTTAAACAAAAATAATCTCTACTCCAGTAGTAAAGTCAAACAGAAATAATCTCCGCTCTCATTTTTTTTTTTTTCATTTTAAATTAAAACTGAAATAATTTTACTCTTAATTATTCTCTATTTCTTCTAATATTAAGAAATGTCTTACCCTTCGCGAATGCTTCACAAAAGCACTTTTGATCTTAAACTTTTCAGCTGAAGATCTGTGTTACAACGCTTCATCCAATGGGGCCGACTACATTGGCAGTGCATCAATCAGCGAGACGTATGAGCCTTGCCTACCCTGGTCTAAGGCCGTCGACTGCGCGGATTTCCCATCGTGAGTGGAGTTTAAATATGTTTGACTTAACTCCTGGATTAGATATTATTTATTTTTTACCTACCTACTGGAGTAGAGATTATTTCTGTTTCACTTAACTGTTGGAGCAGAGATTATTTTTGTTTGAACATCGCGAACTTTTGTTGGTAGTTATGGCAGCCAAAAGTAACTTAAAAAAAACAAAACTGTTGCAGCAAATAATTGCTCAGAGCTATTGCTGCTAATAACAGCTTTAAACAAATTCGGTATATAATAGCTTGAAACACAATCGCTCAACAATCATGCGTGCCTAAATCTCCCCAGGGCTGATGCGGAATGGCTGATCTCGTCCAGCAACTACTGTAGAAATCCACCGAGCAGGCCGCTGTCACAGCCTTTTTGCTACACTTTAATTAACGGAACAAATTGTGAAAAAAAATACTGTGACGTGTGCAACCTCAGTGAGTACAGCACCAATGTCTGATTCATTGACTACATTTTTAATGTGCCTTCGTTTAATTATTCCAAAATTTTGGAAAAAAAAAAAAAAAAAAAAAAAAAAAACAAATGTCGATGTCCTTTGCATTAAAAAGCATTTTTATCATTGGGTATAAAAATTATGAATATGAATTTGTAAGGTCGCTTTATAAATCAATGTAAAAAAAAAATCTGCGGTAAAAAAACAGGGAAATACATTAGCCAAAAAACTTGAGGACTGTTCTGATTTATAACTGACTTTCTGAGACTAAAGCTAAGCATGATATTTATAATAAATATTTCGATGTAAATTATATATTAAAAAATGGCACCAAGACAATTATTGGCTGTTTTCTCAATACTCATCAGAGACACCCATTGACGTCATCAAGAAATGTGCTGCCCTGATAGCCGCGGACCCAACCTTCTGTGCCACTAGCGTTCAGCGATTCGGTTGCTTTGTGTCGTGCAACTACACTCAGCCCTCTACCAGCCGAGGTATCACCAACACCAAACATATCGTGTATATTAAGTAACAGGGTCACCTTTAGTAAACTTGCAGGGTCCTATACCTAATCGTTTGATTACAAAAATCCTAAATTATGGCTTCCGGACATAGTTCCAAATAAATACATTCAGATACGACAACAACAAAAAAAAATGTTTGAAAGCCCCGAAAAAATAATGAAACTGCTTGGAAAACTTCAGCTTACAATTGATTATGATATTCACATGTTTTTTTTACATGCATCGTTTAAAAGTATAGTGTTCATCAAGGTGTACAAATTATAATGTGTGTCAATGTTACGGAAATAAAAAAATTAAACAAGTGAACCTCTGGTCCAGGAACATGCGGACCTCCGACTATCCCATCTGATGGTTTACTGGTCGGCACGCCGAAATCCGTCTACAACGAAGGCGAGAGAGTCCAGATAAGGTGCTCGAAGGTCAATTTTACCCAAGCCACCAACGTCATGCTGTGCACCAGCAGTGGATGGAGCACACTAACAAAGGCTTGCACAGGTGCTGTCCAGACATCCTCAATTCATTATGCACCATTCCCCTACCGCAACGTTCCGTTGTTGTTGTTGTTGTTTTGTTTGTTTGTTTGTTTGTTTGCCCCACGATTCTAATTGAAAAATAATTATAACTGAATGTTATCTTACTAGAAAAGAGAGCGATCAACAGACTTTAAACATAAGATCTGAAAGCAATACCTTTTTTTTTTTTTTTTTTTTGGTGTATATTTAACCTTTGCATACCGCCGCTGTTATGAACTTTAAAAACTTTTATTTTCTAAAGGAATTATTTTTTTTTTTTTTTTTTTTTTTTTTTTTTTTTTTTTTTTTTTTTTTTTTTTTTTGGTGCATATTTAACCTTTGCATACCGCAGCTGTGATGAACTTTAAAAACTATTATATCCTAAAGGAATTCACACATATATTAAAATAAACCGCTCATTTTGTCAATTGTATTAAATCACGAAGACAGCTCTGCGCTTCTATTTAATCACATCTCTTTTGTCATTGACCTTGTGTGTGATGCGGCTGCGGCTGATGTGCCATTCCTACCGTCTTTAATTCTTTCCGTTATCGTTATTCTCTTTGTTTCTTTTAATATTTCTTTAAGAAAGATAAATTTATTTTAAGTTAAGCTTCAAATTTCATATGATCGGGTCCTGTCACATCTAAACAGCAGAAATGTATATGTTGAAAGAATGCATTATGTTGACCATCTCCTGGCAGAGTGCCCCCTCGGCTGGGTGACCTACGGCGACCGATGCTTCCAGTACTTTACCGACTACAAAACATGGAACGCGTCCAGAGCCACCTGCACGAGTCTAGCATCTTCTGGAACCCTCTTCCGTGTCAAGGATCTGACTGATCAGCAGATGATTAGGGACTACAAAGCTAATGTTGGGAGCACGTGAGTGGGAGATGATTAAGCAACATATAAAAGCATCGTTTTCCTCGATAATCCTTTATAATATCTAGTGCTGAGCAATGGGGTTGGGGCTGAAAATTGGAAAAAAACAAATAACTGCATATAAGTAAGGCATTTTATAATAATCCCAACTAGTGCCCCAGCCGCCCCCCCCCCCTTTTTAAACCCAAAGTGCTGCAACCACACTTTTTTTTCCACGCCTCTGAACTACATTAATAATATAATGATCAACCCGCTTTTACACCGCAATGTTATCTCACAACGATTTCAGAGAAAAAATGTGACTCAACAAACGCGCTTGCGATTTATTTATGTATTTAAGAATCTCATTTAACGCAGTCATCGGGAAATTCCTTTCTTGCTCCCTTTGAAAAACAGGAAAAACATATTTTGGTGAATTGTGTTTTGGGGCTGAAAATATGTGCTGTCATCAGCAACGAGTCTATGCGCCAAGTTTCAGCACACATTGTTGACGGAAAGTGAATCAATTAGCCGTTCGAAGATTTTTTACCTGTCAGCCAGCCACCGACAAACAAAAGCGAAGTTAATATAAAGGATTACAAAAATTGTTTAAAAGCGCGCGAGTTTAAAATAAAAATTAAACAACAATCTAATAACAAAGATTTGCACATCAATCTTTTATTCGCAGTTGTGTTTGCAATTATGTAATTAATTGTACGTGGTTTTATCATTCATTGAGAAGCGATTATGTAAATGGGTAAACTTCTGAACATTTGATAAATTCTGTTGTCATCCGCAAAAAAGTTCATGTGCCAAGTCTCAGCTCGATAGTTTGACGGGAAGTGGGTCAGTTGGCCTTCCGAAGATTTTTGGCTTCAACTAAGAAACACAAGAGCAAAAGCTAATTTGCTTCAACAATTAATAACCAGTACCGCTGGGGGACCTCTTGGTGCGGACAACCGTTCTGGAAACAGACGGATACAAACAAATTAAATTTTAAAAAATTTTGCAAGTCTTGGGTGTAACAATCGATGTTTCCTCTTAGCTCATGGCAACAAAAAGAAACTCCACGATTTACGATATACTCATACGTCATATCTCCACTCAAATTACAGTCATGTGACCATTTTTATTACCAGTCATATTGCAATTCACATTACCAGTCATTCACATTAGCAGTCATATTTCCATTTTCATTACCAGTAATATTTCCATGCACATAACCAATCATATTTCCATTCCCATGACCAGTCATATTTCCAGTCGTATTTCCATTCACATGACCAGTCATATTTTCAGTAATATATTTTCAGTCATATTGCCATGACCAAGAGTTCGTTTTTGGACTTGGAAACATGATTTTAACAATCTGGTTTAAGAGATGATCTCTAGCTCTCATTCTAATTGGCAGATTTATGTTTCAACTCTTGTGTCGTTTTTGTTCCGCCCTTTGGGGGCTACTCAATCTCATTCTAAGTTGTATCCTCTGGATTTACTAACATCGCCAAGTTACTTTCCCCTGGTCCCTCGTCTTACTTCTGACCATGGTATACGTTTTAACACACAGCATCGCACACGGCAACTGGATAAGTGGACGCCTGACCTCTACCACAGGTCCCTGGGTATTCACTGATTCAAGTATCACGATGACCTACTTCAACTGGACATCCACTACCAGTAAGCTAGTTTGGTGTTTTCTTGTTCAATTATGTGATTGCGGTGTTTTCTTAGTTAGGTAAGTTATTGTGGTCTTTTCTATGCAAGTAAGTTATTGTGGTCTTTTCTATGCAAGTAAGTTATTGTGGTCTTTTCTATGCAAGTAAGTTATTGTGGTCTTTTCTATGCAAGTAAGTCATTGTCGTGTTTTCTACTTCAAGTAAGCTATTATGATGTTTCTACTTCAAGTAAGTTAGTGTGGTATTTTTTACTTCACATATATTATTGTGGTATTTTCTACTACATGTAAGCTATTGGCGTATTTTCATCTACAATTAAGCTAATGTGATATGTTCAACTACTAGTTAGCTCTTGCCAAACATGTTTTTACAAGAAAGCCTTTCTGAAAGCTCTTGCTAAACGTTCTTTTAAGTGTAAGCGATTGTGATACTGAATACTACTATGATATTTTACCTAAAACATTACCGTCCTATAAATCTACTATCCCGAATGTTTTCATTTCCTCTAGTCAAAAACAGCTTGTCCTACGACTGCATCAAGCTCATCGCCGAGTACGAGGCTGGCAACAATCAGGGCGGCTGGAAGAGCATGGACTGTGAGGGAACGCACGCCTGTCCTTACATGTGTCAGATTGACAGCAATGGTGAGTGGTGGCCGCCGTTAAATTGTTAAAATATTATAAGTAGAATGCGGTAGGAAGATATGAGGAACCCGATGTTACACTCATGTACGTCAGAGTTGAGTAAAAACTGTTTTATTAAAATGTCATAATTTAGTTCCTGGGCCCGCTGATGCCATTTCTTAATGTAATATTTCAGTGACAAACAATATTCCTGTGTTTTTTTAAGCCATGGTTACTGACAAAGTGTAAACTGTCACATTGCGTGTACGTGGCAAGAGTAAGCATAACGTCAGTAAAAAGTGATATTATTTTTTTTTTATATCAAGACTGTCAAAATATTCATGAATAATTATGGAATGTGGAGATTTTTAATTTTTCACTGTATCTTATGAAAGGTCTTCGTTAATAAATAAAAAAGGGATGTGGGTGATCCTTAGTTCATATTTCAATTTGCCTTGTTGGAATGGTCATTTCATGGGATATATTATTATCACTAAGAACAATAGATTATAATACAGAACATAATAATTTGTCAAATTAATTTTACTTCAATGTTATTATTTCTTAAGTAAACATCACTTAAAAACATTGCTTTTCATATAAATTCTTTATCAAATGTAATAGCGAGCAATGAGAGCTGGGGCAGAGAATTTAAACAAAATATGCATACAAATAATGCACTTTATAAGAATCTCGATTGTTCCCCTTTAAGGCTAGCAACAACACATTTTTCACGCCCCTGGACTATATTAATATTCTAATGAGCCCCACAATGCAGAACAATTTTAGGATAACAAAAGAAAATATTAAACACCAAACGTGTTTATTGCACTTGCAATGTTTAAAAAGAAAAGAATCTCATTTAGCGTAACTATCTGAAATTTAGTTTATCTTCCCCTTGAAAAAGAGGAAAAAAGATTTTTGGGGGTTGGGGCTGAAAATTTGAAATAATGTGTTCTCATCGGGAAAAAGTCCATGTGCCAAGTTTCACCTCGATAGGTTGACGGGAAGAGGGTCAAAAAGCCTTCCAAAAATTTTGCCAGCCACCTACGAACCAAAGCAAATTTACTGAAAAGGATTTAAATAGCAGCGAAGATTAAGAAATACGATTAGAATAAATATATTAAGATAAGTATAAAGGTCCACGAGTAATTGAACGAACCTGGGGTGGGGGGGGGGGGTTTCATGGTGTTTTGGTCAATTTGATTAAGATAGATTAAGTGGATTTCTTGGCTAATAGTTGTACACCTCTCACATAAAAGATATTTGTTCAAATGTCTATTCCAGGACTCTGTTCTAACAAGCTGAGCTTCTGTGACGCCCTTCTCGCTGCCTTCCCTACCTACTGCTTTCACGCCAAGACTGTCTCCGGTTCAGATCTGTACTGTGCCAAGTCCTGCGGAGACTGCCCTGGTCAGTTCCAACACGAGCTCAACGACGTGACATTAATAATACATTCATAAATCACATTATAAGACATGAAGTTAAAGATTAGGCCACTAGACAAAGAACTATATTTTACACACTGGGTCGTCAGATACAAATGTAAAAAAAAAATTTTAAATTAACATTTATTACCATGAGGTAACGATTCAAAGTGACATGTCAACCAGTATTGTATTTTTTTTAATTACTTAAACAACTGTGTATTTCCTTTAGAGCTATCTCTCAATAATTATTCTACTTTCCGATCGCTCAGGCTCACCATCCTGCTCTACACCCAGTAGCGCCAACTACACCAGGACATCTGCCTCGGCCACCATTAAACCCGGACAGGTCATGACCTTTGACTGCAAACCTGGCTACTATTACGCATCCGGTGACAAGGCCAGGGCCTGCTCCTCCACTGGGAATCTATTGGGATCAGAGCTCGTGTGCCTAGGTGAGTGACGCCAGTGTAGAAAAAATAGTTCGGGTGATGTCAACCTAGAATGATATACATAATTTCGGTGCCATCAGGCGAGAAAAAAAAAGAGTGTCAAATGGTACTAAATCAATTGCATGTGAAATGTAATTAGAGAGATTAAGGGTAGGGACAATGCTTCCCAAAAAAGGCAAGATACATTTTAAGCTCTCAGGATACATTTTTTTTTTAAATATTCAGAAAGGAAGGCATTTCTAAGTCGTACTGTTAAATTTCTAAAATTGGTTTGTTCCATATAATGTCTCTATATTTAATAAAGTTAGATAATATACATAATATACAACAATAAATGTCATTGAAATTTTTTAAATATTGTTTTTTTAAAATTCTTGTCTAACAGCTCAACCTTCATCTGTTGATGTCAACCTTAACTTTGTGAGGAAACGTCCGGAAGTCTTGCCTGCTAAACTCGCTTTGCTTTTGGATAAAGCCGGCTATAGGTCCTATACTTGTTTAGTTTATTTTTTTTTTTTATTTTGCAACAAAAACTAAGATAAAATAGGTTTATTTATTACTGAATTCAATGCAGATGCTACAGTTCTAACGCATTGATGTGTTTTATAGCCCTTACTCTATTAGAGGACCCCAGATGCTTACCTGGGTGGGGGGGGAAGATATTATTACTTAAATGTACCACCCCGTCCCTTATAGAAAAGTCGACCGTTGGCACTGCGAGAACATTGTCCGGCTGACCGGATGTTCCTGAGCCTGGGCGGCCCCCATCGGTGTACCCGATCGAGCGGATGCGGGGGGGGGGGGGGGGGGGGGGGGGCTGTCCGGACAAAGAGAGATCTCCAACGGGCCGCTTCGCGGCCTGATATAAAGGGCTGGGGGATCCGATAATCGGGATGGGTGAGATGCTTTAAGGAAGGCCCACGAGCTTGGTGCGAGCTCGACGTACCGCTGACGTCATATCGTAATTTATCATTTATAGGCCCGATTATATAAAGACTTTATACCAAAATTAGTGAATGAAATAGGAATTTTAGATTAACCACCACTTCCTCTACATTTGTAAATTTAAAGGATTATATGTTTTGAAGTATGATGTTTATTCTCTTTCTTTTTTTAACAGGATTGTCATCATGATCTGGTTTTTTTTTTAATTTTTGTAAAATGTTTCAGGGTTCCATTCTCTGGTAAAATCAGTACCTGGTACTACTACAGCAGGACACCTGGTAATTTGAACTTCTTGGTGTATAGGAACAACGGGTAGGACAACTTAATTCTTGAATTAATTATTATTTAAATCTGTTGGGATTTTTTTTTAAAATCAGAAACCAAAGAGATTAGTGAGATGGTAAGTTATAAATTAACCTTATTTGGCAGCTCCCAAAGTCTAATGTATAAATCTCATTGGGCAATATTTGTGAATGGGTCGATCAAATAATTAATCGCAACGAAATTTAGAGAAGCAAAAGAAATTTTACGCACCAAACGCACTTGGAATTTAAAAGTCATTCCTCCTGACCTGCAGATGGTTGCTGGAAAATTTGGTCGAAATCCCCTGATCTCAAAAGCTGTGATTTAAAAGATTATCTTAATTTAAATGTAAAGGATTAAAGAGGGCAAAATATTTTGTTTTGTTTTTTGAATGGCTTCGAGGGACCGTCAAGTTAAATTATTTATTGTTGTTCGCATTTTGAATAAGCCTTTTATTGAGAATGTTAATCTATTTATTAATTAAGGTTTTCTGTGATCTTTTATTTGGTTCACGGATTTTACATTACATTTTATTCTATGTGCTTCCAATAAACGGAACATTAGAATGATCACATAGTTTAGGTTCGTGCATAAAGAGATGTTTGGTTTAACTATCGGTTTTCTGTCATGGGTGTCCTTTTAAACGATTTACATTACCAACTTTATATGGTTGATGTGTGTGTGTGTGTGGCGGGGCGAATCGTACGTTTTGAATTTAGCCCCCAATTCAGCATTAAATAAAGCTACGCCCCTGAACCGTTGAGTGCATTGAATAAGTATGAAATGTCTCAAAGGCGTTATTTGTTACACACCAAACAAACACAGTCCATCGCAGGTAGATCAATTTTTTTTAATGCATTTTTTTTTACATGTTGTACAATCAGAAAAAAGATTCGTAAATGCTAACAAAAAATAACTTTGGCTAGATGGTTTTCCTGAGGTTAGATATTGACACGCTAATCTTAAAGTTTCAAACCTGGGTTCTGAATTAATGTCTCGAGGGTAATAGTGTCACCCTACGAGATGGGATATGTTTAATATGAGCTGCTGGCAAAACAAGAAAGGACCACATTCAGAACCAGGAGAAGGAGACACAATTTTTGGTGTCACCCCAATCAGCCTGTATATGGCTCAACAACAAACTAATTGGTTTTGGGCAAATGGTCAGCGTTTCCTTTCGATAAACATGCATGGCAGTCATACAATAGCAGACATTCCTTTTTCAGGAATCTTGGTTGAAAAAGGATCGTCCTCAAAATTCAAAATTTACAAAAAGTGAAATAAACCTTCCTTTTATGGAGAGAGAAATTATATTTGCATAGCTCCTTTTTGCGAAGGGGTTTCGACTACGAGTTGGCTTATAATGAATACTAATACCAACATGAGAAAAGCCGGGTAATTTGGCTAGTACTAAATAATTTTCAGTACAAAGATAAGACGTTTTAGGACCTCCATAACTTGGCATTCTGTTGGGTTTTGTTTTTTTGGTACTCTTTCATTAAAATGCGATAATTACCATAGGTAGTGATCCTAATAAAAAGTTGAGAGGTATAGTTTATAAAAGGTATAGTAACCAAAAAATTAAACTTCAATTATTTTATCATGCCCCTAATTTCAATAGCTATGTTGGCACTCATTCTATCAATAAACATTTATCGTAAATTCTCTGGTAAATACATTTCCATAAAAATTCCAACAACGCACATTTTCTGTCACAGCACTGCCTACAACTACGTTGGCGCAAACTCCATCACTTCTGACGCTGACTACAGATGGGGCTGGAAAGTTCCGGCAGCCAATCAGATCACAGTGCAGGCCAACGACATCGTCGGTGTCTACTCGACCGCCGCCAACATCCTGTCCGTGACGGACTGTAACGGTGCCATGGAACTCATCTGTGTTTACCCCACGGCCTCCGCCAACACCCTGGCTGAGCTACCAACTAAAAGCTACTCGACCACCAGCTGCTTGTGTCCATCTCTAGGATTCCGGGTCGATCCAGGTAACTCAAGGGATTGCCACAATAGGCATCAAAATTATTTGGTCGTCACAGTTTCTCAACCATTGGCAAAACATTGAAAATACTTAAATAAACCTTAAGAGTTGAATAAAATAAAAATTTTATAAGTTTTCACTAATTAATCAAGACGTTGAAATTTATGATTACGTTCCGTCCATTTAAAAAGAAAAAAAAATATTTATAGATGTACCTTTAAATTTCACATTGAAGAATGTTAACAATCCAGAGACATGCTCTCTACCGCATGTTGAAATTATTTAACTATTTCAAATAACTACTATAAATACTATTTCCTGCTATAAATAGAGATTAACGTTATTTAACCTTCCCTACTTCAAAGCTTTGTTAGAAATGCATAACAGCAATGTTTAACATTAAAAAAAAGTTTCTGTCTAAAAATGAAGAATTTAATTATATTGTTTTATACTTTCAGCTTAAGAATGACTCTTCTTCAAAACACAAGCCCCAAAACCTTTGACGGCTGTAACTTTTGCCCTATGACGCTGTAAGAAATTTGATGAAATAAATGTAGTATTGAAAATTTCCCTTGTCCTCTGTTTGCTATTTCTTAAATACAGCTGTAAATTTCATGCATATAATAAAGACATAGGTATAGCGAAGAGTGGTGGATGGGGGCTAGTAGCTAATAACGCTAGTAGATTATTTTACGTATAATAACTAAGAGGCTGCGTTCAAGCCTATGGGGATGAAATAATTAGACCAGCGGATGTGATCGATTAAACAACAAGGCAAGACGATCCTGAGAGCGTATTGGCTGAAAGCCTCCACCGGCAATCACAGCACTAACAAATGGCAGAGAGCACGACCATCGAAACGTCGATGGGTTTTTGTTTTTTTTAAATATATTATATATTGTTGTTCGTGGCATTCCCAAATAGTAATTGAGTTGAGGACCACAATTACAATTTTAAAATCGTGCCAAACGAAATATAATATGGGCCAAGTGAACAAATTAACGTAGATCAAGTAAATGTTTTCAAAGCATCACGTACATTTATTTTTATGGAAAGAAAAAAACAACAGAAACACTTGCAAAAAAAATTGCAAAAAAAAATTGTTTTCAACTTTAACTGTGCACATTTAATGTGGGGCTTGGGAGGATATGTCGGCAACATTTATATTTTGCTTCGAATATTTAATTTTTTTAATGATAACTGGTTACACCTCCAGTGGATTATCTCTTTTGATTTTTATATTCTTATTTTTACCATTAGGTGCGCTTAAAATATTGCAGACAACCATGCAATATATATAGGGTGGGGAAATAAGGGCGAGAACATCTCGTAAAATGTGATTTAATCACATCAAATTTAGTTTAATTATACCCATACTAGCTTAAAGTCGCTGAGAAGCAGGGATGACACATTGGACATGATTTCTGATTAGCTAAATATTTTGCACAAAAAAAAATTCCATGAAGAATTATAATAAATTAAATTATATTTTGAAATAACTTATATGCTACGAGATGTTCTCACTTTTATTGGCCCACCCTGTCATATATATATATATATATTATTTATATATATTTATATTTATATATATATATATATATATATGTTATGATATTGGGCACCATGAATTAAAGAGGTCATTATGACACCCTGAATCGTTTGCTTAAAATGACGTCGGGAATGATGGAAAAATGTTGATGTCTTTTATTGATTTCTGAAGAGCCTTGGGTGAAAAGGAATTGTAATTAATGTAATCAAAGAGAGATTCCTTCTTTTTTAAAATTGGGAATAACATTTTCCAGGAAAAATTTATGATAGCAATGTGTACATTGGTATTGCAGCAACTATAAACAAAAATGACATGCGTTTCAATGATTACTTGTGAAGTTTTGACTGACTTTAAGGTGAAAAGAAACTAACGCCCCTTTTTATTAATACGGTATACACAAGAGTGTTATTTTTTTTTTTTATAAATGTTAACATTCAGTTATAAAACATATTTAAAAGTGTCTTTCAGGAGAGAAATAGTGTCCGTTTTTTTTTTGTTGTTTTTTTTTTTGGTTTTTTTTTTCACTAGAAATGATGGTTATATACGAATATAGCTTTTAATAAAAAAGATAGCCATTACAATTCTTGAAAACAAAATAAAACATATTTAAAAGTGTCTTTCAGGAGAGAAATAGTGTCCGTTTTTTTTTTGTTGTTTTTTTTTTTGGTTTTTTTTTACACTAGAAATGATGGTTATATACGAATATAGCTATTAATAAAAAAGATAGCCATTACAGTGCTTGAAAACAAGTGTTTCTCCAAACGAAATCCATGATCAAAAAAGCGATGTGGTGACATTACTTTAAACCATTATTGCAATGAAAGAACCCAAACAAACGGATCAGGAAATGAGAAACATGAGGGAGGGACGATCTGAAAGATGACAGAGCAGAGTAAAATCTCTTTTGGAAATAAATCCGCACCTGCAGATTTTTTTGTTTAAAGAATATCATTTAGAGTAATTATCAGGAATTTTATTTCGTAAAATCACTCTCATATTTCTTTCATCTTCCCCTTGAAAAAAAAGGAGAAAATGCTTATTTGGGGGGTTTGGGATGAAAATTTGATCGAATTTCTGGTCAACAGCAGCAAGTCAAAATGCTAAGTTTCAGCGTGATAAGTTGACGGGAAGTGGGCCATTAAGGCGGCCAAAAATTTTGTCAGCTAGCCAGCAAGGAACAAAAGCGAAGATAATATCAAGGATACTAAAAAGGATTTTTTTAAAAAAAAGCCTTCTCATCAAATAAATTAACAAGCAGTAATTGAATTTTAAAATTAAAAGCAAATTGGCACATAGAACTAGGAGCTGGTTTTAATCCGAGACAAACATGCCAAATCGGTACCAAGGTGCCTTTTGAAGAATACCAGCATGTCTTCGGATAAATTAGATCAACAGAACCACTCGTTGAATAAAGAAAGCCATCAGTCTGTTCCTATGGCAAAACGAACTCGTTTCATCCAAGAGTTTGAATCTGATTAGTTGAAATGTGGGCCTGAGTAGCAAGTTTGTATGTGTATATAACATAGTACGAGGAGAGGTGGGATCCAGATTACAAAATACTAGATGGGGTTGTGATGGGCAATACGTTGGCCAATGGCCACATGTGGCCATAGGACAAGAAGTGTGGCGAGCTGACACTTTCAATAATTATTTTATCACAATTTATATCAGATTAATTTATTTGAAGCTTCAGCCATCTAGATATGTTTGGCTTTTTTTTAAATTAATCTTTTGTCTCAATAAAAATGTTTTTTTAATGAGAATTTTAAAGCATGATTTAGACAATTGTTCAACAGAACATTTTTGTTCAGATTATTTTATTTGAAGCTTCGGCTATCTAGTTATGTTTCATTTAAAATTGATATTTGGTCTCAATAAAAAAGCGTTTTTAATGAGAGTTTAAAGCATGGTTTAGACAATTGTTCAACAGAAATATTGCAAAAACTCTCTCGACGGTGGGGCGAAGTAACGCAAAACGATTCCCCCAGAGTGGAACCAAAGTCGTTCTGACCAACGGAGAGCGGACCACGAACGCTTTAAACGCAGCGTTTTTTGGTCTACCGGTCGTCCCACAGGCCAAGGGGAGGTTCTCGACGTGCTTCCGCACGGTCTGGCGGTCGGGTACGTCGGACCGTGTGGGGTTTGCCGTGGGGGCAGGGGGTATTAAGAGATGACGCTCGACGACCCACCGACGCCATTTCCAAATGCGACGCATAGGAGCACATACGGTCAGTGCCGTCTGAAATCATGGGCACAGTGGACACTTGCCCAGGGCCCCTGCTTCTAGGGGTCCCCTTGCCTCTAGGAGACTCACTCTTATAAAGACTTCATGTTGCAAATATTGTAAATGAATATTGAAAAGTTTTGGTAATTAAATTTCATTTCAAAATCAGTGGACAGCACGTTTCCCAATTTTAACACGTTCCAAAATAAATATTATAAATGCGAATCACAAGTTGGATACTTTTTAAACTTTTAAAGGGGAATAACTCTCGTCAACAATTTTTAATTCTCTCCGATATGAATCGAAAAATAATAAAGTTAGAGCATTTGTTTACATTCAAGCTAGAGAAAGATATTGGCCCCGGGCGGTAATAACCCTAGATGCGCCTCTGCTCCGTAGTGAAATTAGTGGAGAAAAATCTATCCTAGCTCCAGTTAAAGCACTGCGGAATTTAATTAGCTTTATATCAGGAATTTGTAGGTCACCAATGAATAATTCTTTTAAAAAGTAACTTTATTTTTTAAAAAACAAAACCCAAGTAAGTTTATATTTTGTTCAACAAAAAAATATTTTATATTCTGTGTCTGAAAAACATTTAGATGATCAATAGAACCCCATCAGTCACAGTATGTCTGAGCTGTAGGCAGAAATATATAGGCATTTAGACATAATTTGTGCTCTCTGTTTAAAGCTTAAAGTCATTTTCATCTTACATACGATACCGGGTAGCTCAAACACAGAGATCGATTTTATTAATGGCACCATTTCTATTGATCATTTCCTGATGTTTGTTTTCAGCGGGACACGTGTCAGTCTGAAGGGAAAGACAAATCCATAAAAAATAACTACCTGTATCTTTTAAACGGATTGCTGCTATTACTATATAAATATTTGTAACCAATGAATATATTTCTAGTTGCTTAACCTCTAAAGCGGGAATAAAAAATTAGTTTTAAAATTGGAGCATAGAAGAGAAAAAGAGCTGAGGAGACTAGGGAAACGGGTAAACTTGCAAAATTAACATCTTGGTTAAATCCAATCGAAATATCAGTGACAAATACTGCGTATCAAAATTAAAAAAGCCTCATGTACATCCTCTTGGATCCAGTCATCTCATAGTTCCATACAATACCATTACCTATCTCCTCTGCTGGGGAATCACACAAAGCTGTGTCAGAAAACGATAGTCTGTGATTCACCACACAAAGCTGTGTCAGAAAACGAGAGTCTGAGATTCACCAC